TGCACAAAGGAAGGGAGGTTGGAGAAGCAGCGTAGAGGTCAGAAAGGATGCTTAGGCACAGGGGATGCCTTAGGAGAAAGAAAAGTGCTCTGAAAACTTAAGGAAAGGGGAAGAAAAGGGGTTCTGTTGAGATTAACCTCTACCTGTTCTTAATCTGCACACAGAACAAAGTGGGAAATTTTTCTAGTCTCCTTCAAGCCCAGCAGATTCCTGTAGCCTGCCAGTACCTGCTGCCTGGGGGCAGTGCAGAAGGATGCAAATCTTCCCTGCTTTTCAGAGCTCTTCCCTATTTCAGAAGCACTGTTGCTTGTGTAGAGTACCTAGATTTTTCAGAAATGGCCTTGAATTGGTGTTTGGGCGGACTGCTCCGAGGCCAGCCCAAGCAAAGCTGTGTACACAGTGCTGGAGGGTGGCGGGCGCTCTGGGTAAGTGATCTTGATAGGTACATTCTGATTGATGGGGGAGTTTGTCTCCCAAACTGTCACAGGGTTTATAGAGGTGCCACTCAATACCAGTGCTGGAATTGCTTGTCAGAGCACCTGGCTACAAGAGCAATGGGGATTGGAGACAGAGCTGTAACTTTGTTTTTTCTCTGCTTAATGGCCCCCGCATCTGACCTGCCTGCTCACTCCTGTTTGTCTGGACCTTAAGGAGGCAGCAGGGATTAAGACTGTCAGAGGATCGTGCTGCTTTAGCATCAGGAGACTAATTGTACGGGGGCTGGCAGCATGTGACAAGAGGTTCCCTCCTACCAAATGCACAGCAAGAGCAAAAAATTCTTCAACAAGGGAAAGATATAGGAGACTCTACATTTCGAGTTGTTCTTCTTTCGCCTGAAAGCAGCATTTTCAGATTCACATGTGGAATTACATTTCTCAGGCCTTAGGTGACTCTCCTCGTGAGAGTCGCAGCTGCTTCTGTGTATAACAGGTCGTGTCTCTAGTGAATTCCTAGGTCAAACTCACAACTTAACGTTGAGTTGTCGGATTTCACTTTATTAACACGTTGGGATAAAGTTCTGGTCCCAAGCATTGACCTCTGGATAGCGGCACTGGCTTTAGAGGTCCGTTCTAGGCAGCGTTGCTGATGGCCGTGGATTACTGCCCGACCTTCAGAAGCTGATGCTTGCTGGAGGAACCCTTCCCAGTTCCTAGTGTATGCCATTGAATTGCAAATCATTCCTGTGTAGTGGTAAGGGGCTCTTCTGGAAGCTCTCGTTCTCCTCTAGCAGATCCAAAACAGTGCCTTTGCAAAGGCCACTTTATTCTGCTTGACACTCTCTCTGCTCCATCTCACGTTTTCCTTGCTCCTGGATGGCAGCACACGCCGCCGGCAGGAGCTGGAAGTTGTGAGCCCTCTTTACACTTGGGCTGAGTTAGTGAGAAGCAGGTGTGATCCTATCGGCCCTTCCTTGCATTTAGTGGTCCTCTTAATCCATTTATAACAGCACTTGTCCAGAAATCTGGTTTGAATGAGCCTGAGATGAATGAATAATGTCAAGCAGTTCAGACGTCAAATATTTGAACAGCTGTGTGGGTGTTTTCACTGGCTTTGTGCATGGAAGCAACCCCAGGAAGTTAGACAAGGAGGGTCAGGTCGAAATTGTGGCACCAAACCCCAGTCCGCCGGAACTGGTCTCAAAATCCATCCCTGCTGCAGATGAAGGGGCATTAGGATGCCCATGGCCCGCCCTTTGCTCTGCAGGTGATGCTGGACCGAGCTTTGCATCCCATTCTGTGGTGTTTTCTTGCATGCAATGCAGTGGCGGTACTGGGATTTATGGACCTTTTGATTCACATCAGAAACATATTTTTTAATTTTGTTTTTCCTTTTTTTATTTTTTTAAAGCAGCCTCTGAAGTCCTAAAACTGATAGCACAGCTTATATTCAGAGTCTTTGTGGGTACATGGAGGTTACTTTGTTTAGCATACGGTTTCTGAATCAGTTTTTTTTTACCATGTTGTAATGGATTGGACTTGGTCATGTTAAAAAAAAAAAAAAAAACACAAATTCCATATTTGGTGAAAATCTGAGAGCTGGATCGCCTTATTGCAGCTTCCTTTAGGCCCTGGCCCGGGAGCCCTTGTTTAATCAGAAAAGAAAATTTGCTCTTCTCCTGCCCCTCATTTTAACCTATGAACTTCTCTGCTGTGCCCTCCTCTCTGACTGCAGTGCTGTATCAGATCATCCCAGTATGTATCTGTCACCATAACACGTACTGTCCAAACCCTTCTTCTGTATCCTCCCTGTGTACGGGGGGATAGTACTCTGTTGGCAATGCAGCAGTTCCTATTATAGAGCCAGATTCAGCAAAAGGTCTGTGCAGTATTTTCCTTACAGACTTAAAAGGGATTTTCTTAAGTACAAAGGTCTTGAGAGCAAGGACACCAGGATTCTGAAGTCAAGGTGCCTTAATATTTGTAAATTGTACTGCAGTAAGCAGGTCTTCTTTTCTTAAGCTCTAACCATAAACCACTAGTTGGCTTGAGTCACTGGGAAACAAAATTGATGGAAAGGTGCATGTGTGCTGTGTGCTTAGCATCCTTGCAGAGAGAGGGACACGGGAGCAGTCCCATTTACCTTCACTCTTTGGACACCTTCCCCCACCCAAGGCACTGGTTCCAAGTATTCATTGTCTGGCTAATGTTCAGATCACCTCTGGGACTGGCCAAGTCACAGCTCCAGCTTTGCATGATTTGTGTTTCCCACAGCTACAAGAAAAATGAAGACCTGTGTGTCCAAAGTTTATGGCCTTTGAGAAGTGATGGGCTAAAGTAATGCCAGGTGCAGGGGATGGTGTTACAGCAGGTTAAATGCCATGCCCGTAAATCACCACCCCATTGCCCACTGCAACTTCTAAGGCAGCTTTGAAAGACTATCCAGCTTCTTTGACAGGTCTCTCTTGCTCCTCTAAATCTTCTCCCAAACATTGTGATGAACTGGAGGATTCAAGATTTACTAGATGGAGCCGTTGCAGCAGGAGGAGGCAGCTCGTGACACATGTTGTTGGCTGGCAGCGTGCGGCCAGTACGTGAAACGCTTCATACGGGGTCTGCTGGCAGAGGGCTGCCCCAGTGACACCACAGAGCTGACCTACAGGCATGGATGGGCCTCGTGCAGTACCTGGTGCAGACGGTGGATTCGGGATTGTCGATCCCAGTTTTGTTACCTCTGCTGAAAATTAAGGCTGGCAATTACTTTGAAGTGAAAGGTAGTTTATGCTCCTAGGGAAAGGTTAGTCTTAAAATCATTGTCATGCTATGGTTATCAGTCGTTAAGGACCTTCTTTATATTCAGGGAAGAGAAATATCAAATCCATATAAACAAATTTTATTGGGGGCTTAATGAATCAGCAAGAGCCTCCGTTCCTAGAAAGCGACAGTAAAGAGCTGTGTCTGCATGGTGTCCTTGGAAATGAGACCTTTGCCTTGCCCCACTCTCTGCACGCTGCAAACTGTTAGAAATATAATTCACTCTTCTGGGCTGGGAAAGTGAAAGTTTGCTGCTGACAACACAAGCTTGTGTAAGTGTGCTGGTGAGAGCACCATGATGAACAGACCCAGACATTGTAGCTCTGAAAGGGCTACCCTAGCGCTTGGGAATGTCCTCGTTCTTCAGACATGCACCTTATAAACAGTGCTTTACATCAGTGTTAACCTGTCTTCTGCACTTAAGAGCTGCAGAAATGTACCACTTTTAGGAATTTATGCAAAGCCAAGGCTACCTCTACTTTATTCTTTCAGTGTTTGCCAATGGGGCATGCTCCCTGGTCTAGCCACAGACTTTGGCCACCAGCCATCTGGATTGGCCAGGTCCTTCAGGCTTTACCAGATACCCTCTGTCCATGAGACAGGTGTCCAGTTCTGCTGCCTGGACAGTGGGGTGTTCAGTGAAAGAGACCACTGCACGAGCAAGCTGATTTCTGTCTATGCAGCTTATGTCTCCAAACAGCTTAGATCTGTTGCAGAATTGAGCACAAACAAGTATCTTGCACCATCCTGGGATTCAGGAGGTCTTTGCTTTATTTCCAGTCTCCTGGGAGAGAGAGTGCCTAGTGTCAGATTGCACAAAGAGTAAATATGTGTCTTCCTTAGTTTGTTTCCATTTAAAAAAATCTTAGACAGCAAATATCATGTGAAGCTTCATCTTTGTATGTACCTGCATGCAGATCCCATGAAAAGAAGCCTGGTTGCAATCAGCAATAACACAGTCAACAAAATGCTTGAGAACCAAAATAAGTGTATTTATTGTTAGAAAGTGGCAATTGTTACTCAGTTCAGTCTCAGGTGTAACTGTTTGTTCTTGCTTCCTGCTGGAATTGGGACTGGGCTTATGCCTGATCCACCTTTGTTGGAAGTGCAGGAGTCTTGTTGGCTTGCACTGGAATTTGCTCACAAAAAAAATGCTTGTAAGGGGTGGAGTCTCATATTTTCCTAGAAAGAGGTTTGCTTTTCTTAAACATTTTATATTATAAAAATCTAAGCCATGACTAAATGCATTTAAATATATATGTATATATTTCTAATTGTATTTTAGCCTCTGGCTGCCCTCTGTACCTGAAGTAAGGACCAATTCAGTGTGTCCCTGTGGATTCTCTTACCTGCTAGTAGTGTAGTTTTTGTGTTAACTACTTCTATGAAAAATATGTCTTCTCTATTTTGCTTCAGTTTTTTTCCTGCCTTTGAGAGAGACACTTCTAGTGCTGTCAGCTTTTGAATAACTGAAGTGGAGAGGAGAAGCTCAACAATGTTTTATTTACAGTGTTGAAAATATTTTAGAGGGGAATTTTAGAGCATAAAATCCAGCATCCTTTCTGTGAGTGTTTTCTGTGCAGTCTTCAGAAAATTGTCCTTGGTGCAGTCTTTAGAGATGGTACCTTTTGTGAGGCTATTAAGAGTGAAGGACAGCCTGCAGGTTGGTGCTGTCCCACTATTCTTAGGAGATCTCCTTCACTTCACCTCCCATTCAAATACCCATCCACATGTTTTATTTTCTTTCAGGTTCTGGGTTCATCATGTGCAGCGGCAAAGAGAATCCAGACAGCGACGCCGACCTGGATGTGGATGGGGACGACACACTTGAATACGGGAAACCACAGTATCGTTTTTGAAAGGCTCTTAATGAGAGGGAACCCAGAGTGACATTTTCAGCTCCTTTTCCTACAGCGCTGCCCTGGGTAGTGATGGATAATCTGTGTCCAGCCCTACTGAAAATGGCACCGCCTTCCCCATTTCCCATGTTATTTGAATAGGAGGGATCCCCAGTTGCTGCTTTTTGAGATCCTTCTGCTGATGCAGCACTACTTCAGACATGGTTGGTGAAGTCTGTAGGAGAAATTGCAGGAGATCAAAGTTAGCGTTCCTGTATTTGGTTTCATAAGCAATCTGTTCTATCCATCAAGGTTTCTTCCATACAGATCACTTTTCCTGCTTCATGGGTAGGAATTGAGTTCATTTTCCATAGGGCACCCCTTTGTTTTTAGAGGTTAAGTGCAGTAGACTTTTCAAGCACTATTCACCTGCCGCTCTGAGAGACTGAATTTTTTTTCATTATACATTTCATGGGCATAACTATCATTAAAGGCAGTTTTGGGGATCTTCTCCATCTGGGAGCCAGCCTCTTCAGACATAGCTCTGGGAGGGCTGTGTGCAGACTGCTGCCCTGCAGAAGCTGGACTTCCAGCAAGGAGGAATTCCTGCAAGGGTGTTAGGCATCACTATAGAATTAGATTTTATTGAAATCTGTACCAGCCTCTAAGAGTGAAGCCACAACCCTTAACTGATAGATCATCTCTGTACCTCAAACAGAAATAGTGGAATTGTGCAAGTTAGGCTTGCAGAGGTTGAGGAAGCGGTTTTCCCCTTCTAAGAGGCTGTGGGTCATGTTGCTATCAAAAGACTTTTATATTTTTTTCCACAGAAAACAAAACTTTAAGCCAGGATTAAAAAGCAAGATTCTTTTGGGACCTTGCTTGGATACCAGCCCCTCTTCTTTTGAGGTGCTCCAAGTTGGATTGAATTTGTTCCGTGTCCCAACTACCGTCCCAACTATCTCAAAAGTCTTTCTGTTGTCTGCAACAAGGCCGTATGTTCCTTAACCCCTTGTGCTCAGGTACACAGAGGCAGACGTTATCCCTTGCACTGGGGAAGAGCCAGGTGAAGCCAAAGAAAGGGAGGCGCTCCGAGGTGCTGTTTTAAAGTAAGTACTGTGCTTCTCTAATTTGCTTGTGTTACTTTTGGGGAATCTCAATTCATGGAAAATACGCATTCGCTTAAAGGCAAGGGTGACAAGAAGAGAGGCTTAGAAAGAGGCATAGTGTGATGGTGGGTCTCCATTTCTACTTGTGCAGTTTCATAAAGCCTCCTGCACACTCTCCCTCCCCTAACTACACCACTGCCCAGCCAGTGCCATCTTCTCCCCTGAGCAGTGCTGGACAGAAGGTGAGTTCTGGCGATGGGAAACTGTGCCTTATGCATAAGGCCTTATGCATCATCTTACTTCACAATGAAATGTGGCCTCTTAGTAGTAGTATAACATGATGCCATCCACATCGGCACATGTTGCATTTGTTCAGAGGAGTCTGGCACCCAGAGTATGATTTCATTGCGTCCCATTGTATTGTAGAGTACACTAATCCTTCTGCCTTCATCTCTGGGGTTGGGGCAGGTCAGGGTACGATGTGTGCTCTGCTCATGTATATGTGTGGAGAATGTAGGCAGCCAGCGTTCAGGGCACTTGGGGAAGCATTTCAGGCAAATAAAATGAGTTTTAACAGGGAAGTAGGATTGCTTTCTAAGCCCTCTGCCCTGCATAAAACAGGGCTTAAATTACCCCTCTATCTCTTTCATTGAGTGATCCTGTGAGGTCAAGGTTGAAGTGATTGATAGAGCAGTGAAATGAAGTTTTCTTACTGCTTAGCCTGTCACAAACACTAGTTCAAAATTAGGTTCCACTCCATAGAAAAGTGGCATTTGCCCAACTGGATCCAAACCATTGGTCCGTTCAATACTTTGCTAACCGTGCTGTCTGTAGGCAGGGCCTCAAAGATGCTGAAGCTCCTTCACAGCCAGGAAAGTGGTGTCATAGCAAGAGGGTATCAGGGTATCCCTTTTTGGTGTCTGTGGGCACTTACTGCTTGGTGAGATGACAGAGGACCTAAGGCCGGGAGGCCCAGTTCCTTCTCATGGCTTGCACCTGACACATTGTTTTGCTGTTTGGACAAGATGCTTGCACAACTCCAGACCTTGTTGGCCGAACTCTAAAACAGGAGAGATGATGTTGCTTGTAAAAGCACTTTGAAATTCCGGCAAGTTTCTGTAGAAATGCAAGTACAAAAGCTGATGCCCTGAAGCATAAGCCTACCTTACCTTTTGAGTGCAACTGTCTTGGCTCATAGAGCTAAAGTGTTAAGTAGTGACGGGTGTGCAGCCTGCTCAGAAGATTCCTTTCTCTTACAGTCTCTGTTATTGGCTTGCAAGAGAATGGACAGGGTTAGGAGTTGTCTGTACTTCAGTGCTGTTGTTCCTCACATGGGAAGATGGAAAAGAGGAGGCTTGTGCAGGTGTAAAGTTATTCTTAAAGGGAGAAGCTGTCGCAACACAAAGGATTTTTGTTCACGAGTAAGGTTTTCATCTTTGAAATTGTGTATTCAAAAATGAGCCTACGGTCACAGGTGCTGTTTGAATCCCATCCTTCAGTCAGCATCACAACCCCCATGTGATTCAGCAGAGGTCGCAGCTAGAAGTGCAGGTTGGGAGAACACTAGTGGAAATGTGGACTAGCACAAAACCACCTCCTGCAGCAGGCCAACTGCTCACATTTTGGAACCTTGACTGACGGATAGAAGTATTGAGACAGAAGTGGTGGGTGGAAAGGGTAGCTTTTCCCGAGCAGCAAAATGTTCTGTATTCAACCTTTAGCATTCTGCCCTTTTCTCTTCTAGTGGTGGCACACCCAGTACTCGAATAACACCGGAGTTTTCTAAATGGGCCAGTGACGGTGAGTGTTGAATTTGTAAATTAATTTGTATGCTACAGGAGGGCAGATAGATATTCCATGTCTTCTGCCTGCCAGTAATTAGGCAAATGGTAGTTACAAATGCTCTTGCACAGTACCGGCAGTTACACAAGTTGGGAGTTGGATTGACTTGCTGTTGTGTCACTAAAAGACAAACTGCTGTTTCACAGAGGGAGCCATCAGAGCTTGACTCTGTGATGGTGGTGGTCAGCTACTGGGGCCTTAAACTTGCTTGAGGTTTTTTCAACTGCTTCCTTATAATCTTCCCTTCTTTAAAAGGGTGTGCTGGAGACTTGTATCATGATCTGTTGGGTAGGTCTGGTCCTTGCTGGCCTCTATGGCAAGAAAAGCCTGCAGCTCTGTTGCCTGCACCTTTGGAGTGGGAACTCCAGCATCTGTCCTACCTCATGACCTGTACTTGAGTCTCCAGAGCAAACAAGTGAATGTGAACTTGTACCTTTGCATGTATTATTTGAAGGCTCATGGCATTAAGGGGGGAGGGAGGTGTTAAACCCATTCGACTGCTGGGTTTTTTTGTTTAATGCCAGGAGCACTCTAAGTGTAAGCAGCGACCTAGTGGAAATATGAGAATAATAAAACCTGGCGCTTTCCAGCTGTAGATGCCAAATCCATTTCCAAAGCTGGGCAGTGCGGCTTCAGATCCCTTAGGAAGGGAACTGAAGCTCAGCGACCTGAAGAGACTTGTCCCAATGATTTTATTCCCTGTTCTGTTACTGTAATGCTTTGGGCATTTGATTCTCAGCCTTGAAAGAACCTACAAGACATAACTGCTTTCCAGTGGCGGGGGGGTGGGTAGAACCAGTTTTGCCAAGGGCGTGTTGATTAAATGGAGAACATAGGATATCTATCGCAGGCATTTTCTGCTGAGGGATAGGCAATCGCATTTATTTTCTGTGATGTAGGAGCACTTGCTTGTAGGTGTGTTCAGCTTCAGTAACTACAACCACAGAGGTGATGAGGAGGCAGCCCTGGTGGCACTTGCCGTGAGCTGTTTTCTTCATACCTTTTACCTGAAGCCACGGTGCTGAACCTACAGCCCGGGGGCTGGCCCTAGGACAGGTCGTCTGGCTCAGCCCTGACTGGTTTCTCACATCCCCCCGAGCACTGGGAGGAGGCATAGTACTGCTGGTAGAGGAGAGCTATGAGCAGACTGTTCTGTCCTACTACTTACCTGGCATATGTTTTTCCCTCTGTCTGCATCAGAGGGTTCTCAGAAAAAGGGAGAAGCTGAGAGCAGGGTCTTGGCTGAGTGGATTTGCTCCAGATCCACCTTTTTAGAAGTACACTTTGGCATGGCAGATGCATCAAAACTTATTGAATTAAATCCTGGCTTGAACAACTGGAACATCTGCAAGGGTTGGTCAGTATCTTCAGCCCCGAATCATATAGAGAGAGGGCCTCCTGGCCAGACAGGGACACGTAGCATCAGTCTCTTCTCTCTCTTTCCGAGAATTGACATGAAAATGACTCATCAGGGTCCTCTGCTTCTGAAACTCTTAACTCACTCAGGCCATTTCATTGCAATGATCAAATGTTCTTTTACTAATTTATCCATTTTTCCCTCAACAGAAATGCCCTCAACGAGTAATGGTGAAAGCAGTAAACAGGAGACCATGCAGAAGACCTGTAAGAACAGTGACATTGAAAAGTGAGTGTAAAGTGGATAGCTTTCATTTTTCCTGTTTTAAGGAACCATAGTGTCCCATCTGGTGTTCCTAGAAGCAGTGGTCGTTTGAGGGTAGGCATATTTGAAGCTTTACCACTGAGAAGGGAAGTTGTGCTCCAACATAAAGCCTGGACTTGGAGCTATTGGTGTCCTGACTTGCCTCTGCTGTGGGGAGTTCTACCCCAGGTACCTGTATGGGCAGGTACCCAGTGACAAGGAATTGAGTACAGCTTTCAAAGGGATTCTCCACTGCAAACTGCTTATTTTAAAATACATAAATAGATAGATCCATGGTTTCCACCACATTCTAGTTATGGTGGGTTTTCAACATGTTGTGCGGTGTGTAACAGCTTAGACTAGAGCTGAGACGTTGGACAAGAGGTGAAGATTCAAACCCACTTTAACCTGACAAAAACAATTGGCTTGTCAAGCTGTATTTTGATTTTTTTATTTTATTCCCCCTGCAATATTTCTGCTATCCATGTATCACAGGATCTTGCTTTTACTGGAGAAGTTACCTTATCGTTGCATCTTGGTTTTTGAGGGCAGTCCTTCACGTGGTCTCTATTCTGTTTTTTCAATGGTACGTCAGAAGGGAATTCCAGCAGTCCCCGTAACCTGGCAGAAGCCTCACTGAGAAAATTTCTTAGCCATTAAGATCCAGATTTCACCTTTGTATGGTTAATAATGGAAATGATGTCTCAGTTCCTGAGTGTTATACCTGCAGGGTATCCAGGTCCATGGATAATTTGGGATGGGGAAAGAACCTGGTGGTAAAGTTAAGCAGACTTTACAGAAAGTTGGGGTTTTTTGATGTAGTTTGTTCTCCTCCTGCCCCTGGTCCTCACTATAGAGGTTGTATCCTTGGCACAGGATATGTTGCCAGTTAGGGGTTAGCTGGGGAAACTCCCTGCTGCAGAGGAAACTTTTAACACTGCTCGGCGCTTTCCTTTTTACAAGGCTTTTTATTGGCATGTCCCAAACGTGGGCTGTCTGCTGGTCGATGCTTCTCGGTGAGTAGACTTTGGCCAAGGACCGCCAAGTCTGGGAGCTCACAGGTCAGTGGAGAAGCACCCGTGTCCTTAGAGCAAGCCAAGCATTGCGTGCTGTCTTGGTGGCAAGGATTCATCCCTTCTGGCCTCATCTGTCAGCCTGTGTCTCAGCCGCTGCTTGGCTTCCCTTTGGGCCTCCTGCCTGTCAGCCCAGCAGCCCCCCACCCTCCCACATCCACTCCTATTGAAAATCTTTAAACTGCAGGAGCTGAAAGGATTTGACATTTTCCAGAACACTTGAGCTCAAGTGATAAAATTGACATAGCTTTAATAATCTGATCAAAGAGGCTTTAGCTGGCACCTTTTGAAGGATCCCAGAATCCTTTCCAAACAGCACTCGTGCTAATGCCGCTGTGAAGTGGGGGAGCGTTTGTGTGCTTACACGTGTGTGTGTGTGTGTGTGTGTGCACACCTTGCTCCGCAGTAACCTTGCCCCACTAAAGCTTCAGTTCCGCAAAAGGTGTGAAAAGTCAGCAAAGCCCAATAGAAATTATGGGGAAACACTTAAAGTGTCTTGCTGAGTCTTTCCAATAATGCTGTTTATTTTTTTTTGGAAGTAGCAGGGAGAGCTTTTTATTTAAGGCACTTTTATTTCACCGAGGTTCAGAAATCAAGATGGTGTTTCAGGTGGAGAATTCCTAGCTGCCCTTTTTTTTTTTTTCTCTCTCCTTTCCTTTGAGATTCGTGTGTGATAAATAGTTTCTGTCCTGCCATTTAAGGAGTCTGAATGCTCTGTGTGCTTGTCTGTGTAGAGGGGTTCTGTTAAATTAATTGATAACAGGGATCAGAGCTAGAAGCCTACAGAAAAGGAGGGGGAAGGGTTTCACACTGTCTGTCTGCTTCTCACTCCACTGCTGAGCCATGATATATGGCGACCCAGCCCAACAGGCTAAATTGATTCATCTCTAGTTCCTGTTTCTTAATCTGGAGCTAAATTGGTTTCATTTTTCTTGTTTTGGGTGGCGCTTACAGGAAGTTTTTGGCAGCATCACTTTACTCCATTGTTTGTAACTTTAATTTTTGCCTTTAAATCTGAGCGTTATTGATTGGCATGTTAAACCCTGTGTAGCATCTGATTAGCATTTTTAAAAGTGTCCAGAAGCACATGGTTTACCACCTGTGTCAGCCGTGCTCTCCGTTTAGAGCAGCAGCTAATAGAGTTAGCAGCGATCCGCGTATTGATCCTTCTCTCATAAGAATGACGTTCCTTCCCCCTCCCCTCTTCCAAAAATAAGTCTGGGCAGGGAGAGCGCTGTGGTTTTGTTTGGCTGGTTTTTAATCCATTAGTACAGTACAGCAAGCGGTCCTCTTTTTGGCACGCAGCTGAAGCTCTTTGCTTGAGCCAAGTTAATTTAATCTAAACTTAGGTTTTCGTGGAGGAGTCTTTTCCATGTAGAACAGCTAGATGGGGTTTGGGGTAAGTCTTGTGTTTGTTGCCCTCTCCTTGTGCCGTGCCACGTCATCTATAGTTTGGGCAGGTTGCATTGTGTTGAACTTCAGATGGCAGCCACAGGTAACCAGAGACATGGTGCTAGTCCCAGCTCTCCTTCACAGCCATGCTAGGTCCTTGGTAGCTCAGGCAGGTTTCTTACCATTGACATGATCTGCATTGCATTGAACTTCAGATGCCAGCCACAGGCGGTAAGAGAGGTGGTACTGGTCCCACCTCTCCTTCCCAGCACTGCGGGGTGTCTCAGCCCTGCTGAGCTTTTCTCATCTCACCAACATGAGGGGTCAGGGAGACACCCTGGGGTGCTGAAGGCTCAAGGAGTGTCACATCAGCTGAGCTCTGCCCCTCTCCTGAAGACCCCAGCCACCATGAAGGCAGAGCTTAGCTGGTGCGATGCTCCTTTACCTTCACTCATGATGCAGCTTTGCTCGGAGAGAGCAGCCAGTCCCTAATTGCCCAGGCATCCTCTCCGACTCCTCCACCATCGTCATGCTCTCAGCTGAAGCACTGTCAGGCAGAGAGCTGCAAAAAGCACCTTCCCCACGAAAAGTCTTCCTTCCCCCTCCCTCCCCAGATGCCGCCTGTGAGGGTCTGGTGCCATTTTGAAACCGAGGTTCCCCGGGGTTAAAAGCCAGCATCTTAATTCAGAGTGCCAATGTTCAATTTTGCTTTCTGCCACCAGACTAGATTGCAGGCCAGCGAGAGAGTCTGGGTTAGTGGCCCACTGGGTCACCTCCCATTTGTTTTCCTCAATTTTGTGTTGTCATAAATTCATTCCAGCCCGTTGTGGTTGATCAGTTTATCTCCGCCGGGGCAGGGAGCGCTGCGAGCATGATATATGGCACAGAGCATTGTAGCCAGCCTCTCCATGAATCACTCCAGCTGTTTGGTGTCAGCCCCAAAGCAAACAGGACCCGGCCGCTGAGCGTTGACTACGATGAGCTCAGTATGGGAAGAGACATGACGTATGAATGTTTATTTAATAATTCTCTAATATTTCCAGCTGAGTGTGGCTGTGCCTTCTGGGGGGGGTGGGGGTAAAAGAGGGGAGGGGGAGGTTGAAGAGGGAAACTCTAATCTGTTGGGGTGGGTCATAAATCAGGCAGACAACATCATTAATCAGGGATGGGACAGAAGTGGAAGGAGGTGGGACTGGAGCTGCCATCCTCAGTGGGAAGGGGGCTGTGCTCTTTTTTTTTTTTTTTTTTTTTTTTTTTTTTTTTTCCTTTCCTGGGGGGGGGTGTTTTTTTTTTTTTTTTTTTTTTTTTTTGTAAAACAAATCTTATTTCTGATTCTGCTTGGCCCCAGCCGCGCTGCCCGCATAATAGCAAACCCGGACACAAGGCCGGTTAAGTGAGTATGCTGCCTCCACTCTAAACCTTGTGATACGAGCCTGCCAAGCATTAAATCCCTTTATAATTATCTTCTTTATATAACACTTCATGCTCATCGTGCTTCATTGGATGAGATGCTCGTTGGGTTAAAAAGAGGGTTTTAGAGACAAAAAGCAATTGTGTTTATTTTTCTCATCTCCTCTTTCCTCCCACCTCCCTTCTTTCCAGTCCAGCTGTTCCGAAAGCATCAGCTCCAGAGGGGCTCTGGCGCGGCAGCACAGGGAGGACCATCAGTTAAAATTAAACAAAGTTTAGGTTGGGGTCCTGGTGGAAAGAGCCAAGCGTGTGAGAGAGTTGGGGAGGCAGCAGTGTCTGTCGCAGGGACCCTGCTCCTAGGCAGACAGAAGAGCCGGGAGCAGCGTGAGTGTGAAGCCAGAGGATTAGCAGAGCCCCAAAAGGGAAGGAGCCGCGCTTAAGCTGGTGTGTCAGAGGGAAATAGAAGCTGTTGTGAATTCACACCAGAGGATAAGAGCTCCCCAGCCCCTCTCCATAGTGTCACACCATTAATAGGCTTTGGTGGGAGACAAGAATGTTGCATAGCAAAGACAGAATTAAAAAATTAACTCGAGTCATAAATGAGCTAACCCGCTGTGCTCTGCTAAGAGACAGCATGATGCTGCTTGGTGGATCCACTCCTAGATCAGCCCGTGTAAACTTGAGACAGGACCCAGGAAACTGAACTGAAGCCTGGGATTGTCAAAGCCAGGCTGAGAAAGCGCTGCTGGGCTGAGTGCTGCTTGTGTCCAGAATTTTAACTTTATTGGGTTTTAGTCCGTGCTTTCAGTAATTCAGTAGTATGTAATACATGCTTGTAACGGACACTGGTGTCCAGTGGGTGCACAGGTAGATGCTGCATTTCTTTATGAAATGAGACTGGCATTACTTTATCCTCCAGGTTGTGCTGGTGGAGAGCAGAGCGCTGGGCTGTGTTTCTTTATTCTGCTCCCTCGTTTAACTGTTCAGTAGAAATCGCTTGTGCAGTGACGCTCTCAAATGTTATTACCACTGCACCAACTCAAGTTGTGTCAGTGTCGTGGTTCATCATAGGCTGGCCGTTAACGAAGCTCAGCGAGGCAGGCTTGGCTG